CGATTATTTCACTAATAGATGGCTTTGAAATGACTGGATTCCCCGTTTATGATTATAGCTCAGGTCTACTGAGTTCCCCCTTTTCAGAGCTTCAGTCTGAGGAAAAAGAACCTTTGACACAGACTTGTGTTGATAAATGATAAACGGTTGGACCAAGATTTCAATGACAACCTTTTTAATTTGACATTGAAAGAAACACAGGAACTGTGAAGCTGGAGAGGATGAATATTTTTCTTCTATTTGACTGTAACTAATACATTAAAGTAGTTTTTTTGGTATCACTGTGGGAAAAAAAATCCATGCTGACCTTTCAACATATTGGACTTCTGTAGCTTCTCTTGTGTCTGTTGTCAGAATTTAGAAAATCCAATTACAGGGCTTTTCACTAATCAAATGAGAAAGAACAACAGAAGCCCCTTTCAGACCTGGTATGTGTACCTTTGCTGTCTTATCTATGTCTTAAAGTGACGGCTTTCTGTCATTCAGACATAAGATCACTTTTATATTGATGTTCCTCACGGCTTCTTTGTACAGACGTTTACATACACTGTATAAAAAGACATATAACCTTTTTTTTCTCTCACTCTCTGACATTAAATGTGACTAAACTGTTGCTGTTTTAGGTCAGTTGGGATTAACAAAATTATTTCTATTTGCTAAACGCCAGAAAAATGAGAGAGAGAATTTGTTAGAGATTTTTTTTTTTTTTAAACGAATGAATGGTTCATTTCTATTACAGTCTCCAGTACAAAAATTGAATTGTGTGCATTCAGCTGACAAAAAATTATTATACATACTTGCATTAACATTTTTTTCTCACAAAAAAAATAACAAGCTCTGAAGCCAAGGCTTATTTTGCCTATCCTGCCTGACAGTCAGAAGTTTACATTCATTTCTTTAGTATTTGGTAGCGTTGCCTTTAAACTGCATGATTTGGGTCAAACATTTCTGGTTTCCTTCCACAAGCTTCTCACAACAGTTTGCTGGAGTTTTGACTCATTCCTCCTGACAGAATTGGTGGAACTGACTGCCATGTTGTCACACAAGGAAGCAGTGTGTTTGAGGTGTGCCTTAAATTACATCCACAGGTGTGCCTCCAGTTAACTCAAATGTTGTCAATTAACCAATTAAAAGTGTCCAAAGCCATGGCATCATCATCTGGTCATAGTCATTTTAGTGTGTGTATCTGATTCTCAGTCATCCAGGTCGTGGTTATTCTCATAGTTTAGTCGTAACATCTTGAAGACGTTTCACCTCTCATCCAAGAGGCTTCTGACTGACTCGTTGGGAGTTCCAAATATCCTTAAGGAGCCATTAACACTTGCGTTTCGGTTTTAATTGGGGCTTTGTTGCTCCTCCCCCTCACTATGTAGTGTATGTAAAGTTTTCATTATTCTGGTGTTTAGCAAATAGAAATACTTTTGGTAATCCTAACTGATCCAAAACAGGAAAAGTTTAGTCTGATTTAATGTCAGATAGTGAGAAAAAAAAAGGTTATGTGTCTTTTTATGCAGTGTGTGGAAACTTCTGGTTTCAACTGTACAATAAATAATCCAAGTGTTTAATTGACTAAGACAAGAGACTCCTAGAAACAGCTGGAAGCAACAAACTGAACAAAAGTACGCAGTGTGACGAGCCATTGGATTCTGGCCTGGACTGATTTGGTCTCTATGTTTGGCAAAATAAATTTACTTAATGAGGTTACTGGTGCTGTTGCTCCACATGAACAAGCGTACACCACTCTTTCACTTGGAGATGCTCATGTAGGTGCTGCTGCTGTCTGATGCTGCAGTTATGTGATAAACTCAGAGGAAGGACTCAGTCTGTTGAAGGCCTTTCCTCAATCACTTCATAACCTGAGGTACTGTTTGAGCTTGTGTGTGTGTCTCTCCACTACTGTGACTCGTGTCCAGTGATACAGAAATGATGTGACTGCTATGGAAAAGTGAGCCGACTGTGCATTCAGACATGAAAACGTTCAGTAGACATTAGAAAAGACGCCTGTTTGAAAGGGTCTGAAGTGAGAGCAGGATGTGGTGGGGCTACTTTGGGACCATGAGGCCACTTAAGCTCATCAAATTACACATCTTCATGTTTCTGCAAACAAAAGTGTTAAAAAGGCTTTGGAACAATATGCTAAACAAAGGCCTTTCAAGCAGATGGTTGGGGTTCAAATCCCTGGTGGAGACACAAGTGCTTGTTTAAAGTGTGTGCTCGTCACTGGCAGGAGGAGGGCTGTACTTCCACACTCTGGATTTTTTCTTTCTTCACCAAGACATCTGACTACTGCAGCTTTAATCACGATCCTTTCATTATGAAACAGACTCATGGTGGTTTGAAAAGTCCACCAAGGAACAGAAACTAACAATGAGGAACAGCTTGATTAACAGCTACACTCATCTATCTGAGAGCAGTGACGTTGGTGAAGATCATGACTCAGCTTTTGATGATATGTACTAAATAAACAACCGCTTAAACCGACACACTTTTATAGTGTGTCAGCATCAAACACATGGGACAGGGAGGCTGTTCATTGTCATTGTAGTTTGAGCTTGAAGCCACATGATGGAGACAGTGAGCCAAAATCTAAATCCTCCCTCACTGCATGTTTCAGGTTTTTCAGGAGAGATTTTGAGCAAATTGACTCTTGATGTTGAAGCACAATAAAACCAGACAACACTCAGACACAGTCCTGGGTCAAAAGGTTTTTAAGTCAGACTGAAACAAAAGCACATCCTCATTGCATCATAAAAGGCCACAGGAGCTAGTTTCAGTGATGCAGTTGTAAATATGACCTTCAGGCAAAAAAAAAGAATGAAAAAAGGCAAACAATTTGGTTTCTGAGTCAAGCTGTGTTTTGAAGCTTTATGTTTCATGTGGACTCTGAAGCAGAAGAAATCAGACTTCAGAACCATTTAAAACACAATCACATATATTTGTGGACCTTAAGTAGAGAGTTTAGAGGTCAGACACTTTATTTCCTGCATTCTGGTGAATTTTTATATTATCTGCATCTATTCACATAAAGGACAATACAAAACTCTGGCACTCGGTTTAATACATCATGAACTATAATGGAGGGAAACTCTCAGTAATTCTGTGCTGCTTTCAAATATGTTTTCTCATGAAGATCAAAGTTTCTCATTTAATACGACACACATATAGGCTGGATTTACTCTGCTGTCCTGTTGTGTGTCTTTTGGTTTAAGTCCACCCATCCATCCATCCATCCATCCATCCATTATCTATACACCCCTTAATCCTCACTAGGGTCACAGGGGGCTGGAGTCTATCCCAGCTGACTCAGGGTGAAGGCAGGTTCACCTGGACAGGTCACCAGTCTATCACAGGGCTACACTTAATAACCAGTTAAGGGGTTAATTCTTAACTGCACTATAAAATCCTGCACCTCTATGCAAACAGCACAACCATGGCTACAAGGACAGAGAATTCTAACATGTCTTTTTTGCCATTTAACAACGTTAACATGTCGTAAATCATCGTGTTTTTGGTTATTCATTTTACAAAAAAATGAAATAAAAAAAAATAGAATCAACATCCATCCGTATCTATACACCGCTTAATCCTCACTAGAGTCATGGGGGGCTGGAGTCTATCCCAGCTGACTCAGGGTGAAGGCAGGGGACACCTGGACAGGTAGTGACCTCTTTAAATGTGCATGTGGCACTTTTTCACCTCATTCATGAACCACATGTATGTGATTAATATGTTCATATGTAAATGAGGTAATATTATCGTGCTAGCTCATAGTATGTTTTCCAGTAAGATTTCTGCTCGTGTTCAAAACTTTATGCACAATTATACTAGTGGTGGGCGCATCGATCCAAAGTATCAATAGCGATGATACCATGTTGGTTTCAGTATCGCATCAATACTAATGTGATGGATTCAATACTCAAGTTTCAGTTTCTCTTCTCTATGTTCAGCAACTAGTGCTTGTGCATGTGTCTCCTCCCCATCCTCCCTGCTGCACTGTTACCTACGTGCTGTCTGTCACATCACTCAGCAAACTGCAGAGAAGAAGAGCAAGGATAAAGGATAGATAAGCTGCTTTTGTAAGTGAAAAGTATCGATGCTGACATCGGCAATACCGGCCCTGTATTTACATGGTATCAGATCGATATTGTGGCAACACCTCAAACTTATTTAAATGCTTGCAAACACACCCAAAAGAAAACTCTGAGCTCCAAAGCAAATGGAGGGAGGAGGACGAGGGGACTCCCCAAACAAAAATGTAATCTAAAACATTCCAGTAATATTTTTACAAGGGAGCAAATAATATTTATTTGTCTACCATCTTTGTCTTGTGTTTTGTTGTGATAATAATACTAATACTGGCCTTGTGTTTACTTGGTACTCGGATCGATACCAAATTTTGCAGCATCGCCTACCCCTAACTTATACCATTTAACACACATCTATATTAAATATAGCACTGAAAACAAAAACAAATAGATTCAGAAATAGTTTCTATGCAAATGCCATATATGGACTAAACACTTCAGTATTACTAATGTTTAATGGGTTTTATTGAATATTTTTTATGAATATTTTATCTTGATAGTCTTACATGATTTTTTATGCTATTTTATTGTTGTTATTTTATAATTTGTTATTTATTTGCTATGCACTTATGGATGGCACTTTTCAAAACATGTACTACTAGTACTACTACTACTACTACTACTACTACTACTAAAAATAATAATAAAATAGTAACAATAAATGCTAATAATGTCATTGTTATCCAATTAAACTTCACAATAATGTGGTGGCTTTACACCTCAGTAATAAAAGCTGGAAGCACACTGGCATCATCTGCTCGTCGACCCGCCCACATATGAGCTTATTCTCTTCTCATTGGTGCAAAGTCAAGAGAAGGCGACCGGAGCTAAGATCTGATTGGTCCACAGTCGTGTCAATCACTCTCCCACGCTCAGGCAATGCAAATCAGCGACTAGATGCGGAACAGGGAGAAGGAGAGGACAGCGGGCATTCATAGGTAGAGGGGGCCGACGACGGTTGCCCTTCATCACTTCCAGCACATTTTGAAACCGTTGTGGACCCCCGCTGCTCTGTTTTTTAACGCACTGGACTGGGACATACATTGAACGTACCGCTGTGAAAATGGCGCAGCCAGACAGCAAGAAGATATTCTTTGAGAACCTGTCGGGAGCGGGCAAAGCCATCGCGGTGCTGACGAGCGGAGGGGATGCTCAAGGTAAAAGGACCCGGCTACAGTCTCACACGTACAGTATGCGCCGCTGTGAGAGGGGAGGCAGGCCCACGGAGGAGGAAAACCTCCGGCTGTGTGATGCTGGGCTGTCTGCGAGGCTGCAGGGCTTTGTTTTTTATTGGTGGGGATTTGTGAAGCAGTTGACACTCAGCGGGATATTAGTCTACTGTACCGCTCATCCAGGAAGCCAGTTAGCTCGCATGCTAACCTGACAGCTAGCTCGCTAGCAGCAGCAGCAGCAGCAGCAGCATCCTCTGTCAGTGATTCGGAGGCATTTCATCGCTACTGGCAGCTCGGGGAGGTGTCAAGGTCGAGCCGTGGCGCTTTTTTTTCTTTCCACGGGGCTCTGGTTAATGCAGAGTAGCGGCTTTATGTTAATCATCCCTCAGTAAACTTGATTTGGATGAAGAAGTGACAAAAAAGTGCAGCTCGCCGCATCGCTGCACCGCCGGTCCTGCTTCATGGCTTAGTAATGTGATATAAAGCCGTAAAGCCGTTTGTTGTAACGTGTTTATTTCTGAGGCTGGAGGTTTTGGCCGAGCCGCGTGTGGCCCACTGATGGGATGTCTGTATCCTGTGTACGTGATGAGCTGCATACAAGCTCTGCGGCGTCTTTCCCACTGCGTCAGAGAGGAAACCCTGGTCATGTGCCCCACTGTAGCACACACCTACAGGCGGCCTCGCGTTTATTCATACCCTCCCATTAAAGAGGGAAACACACAGCTGTCACTTAAATAAATAAGTTGAAATTGACAAAAGTAATAATAAATAAAAATTGAATGAAAATCATGGCATTGCTTTTGAATTGTGGTTCAACAGAAATATATAGATTAAAAAAACAAAAAGAGTAAACAAGCATGATGGGACCCCTAAACTAATATGTCATTGAACAACCCTTTATCAGGTGTTTTCTGTAACTCTCCATCAGACTTCTGCACCTGTTGACAGGTGTTTGGATTTCACTGCTAATCAGCAAAGTGCACTAATTTGTCCAGGACAGTTATTATTAATATTTTTTTTAATTATTCCTTTCTACCACAATTCAAAAGCAACGTCTTATTTCACTAAATTATAATTTAGCAAATTTTTATTTATTATTACTTTTTTCAGTTTCTGGTTATTTGAGTGACTATTGTGCATTTTGCCTTTTCTTTAATACATTTGACTGTACCAACACACACTGTTTCAGTAGCATCTGCCCGCTGTGTTGCTCATAAGGAATTAGATAACTCAATCAAACTCTGACATTAATTTTGGAGATAAAATCTGTTTATTTTCCCCAGTTCTGAGCATCAGATCAACACCTTAACTCATCTTTTTAACAGCTGATGATCAATTACCAGCTCGTTAGTTGCATCAAATCCATGATCAAACTGACTTTTAATATGTAATCTACATAAACGCTGTTCACTCTCTGCAATACAAATAAGTTAATGGCCACAACCATGATGTGACTTTGGTGCACAGGTGGTGCACAGAGCTGCAGCAATCAATCGATTAACTAATTAGTTGTGAGCTAATAAATCAATTGCCCTCCATTAAGATAATGAATTAATCAGTTTTTAACGAAAAAAAAAAGTTCAAATTCCCTCATTTCAGCCTTTTGAAATGATTTATTTTCTGAACTGGTTTTACTTTTTTATGACTAAACTGAATATCTTTGGGTTATCCACTAAACTGAACATGCTAGGGTTTCATCTTTGGCTTTGATTTGCCTTTTTCTGACATTTTAGAGGCCACAAAGATTAACCAGGAAAATAAAGAGGAGAGATTATTTGACAGTGTTAGCCCTAATGTGTTGGTACAAAATGTTCATTTATGGAAAATCACTGTTATATAAATGGAATTCTGACATAATTTTCTTATTGTTTTGCTGTCAGAATGTCTTCGTTAGACGGATCAACCTGTCGTGTCGTTTTGTTCCGCTCATGCTGCTTTAGGAGACATGAATCGATCTTTATTGGGGCTGCTTTAGAACGACAGCCCACGACACACACAACGCGCAGAAAAAACACACGAAGCCGGCCCCAGAGCAAACCAATGAGGCCGTGGCATGCATGACAGGAGCTGAACATCAGCGTCAGAGGGCTTTGTGTAGCCTTGGCTCGGTTTTTTTTTTCTCTGCAGGAGAAAGTGTCAGTCATGCAGAACAGGAGACTGTCAGCTTGGATAAAGACTTCCAAAAAAATTCGACAAGAAAAAGATACCCCCGTGTGATAATGATAATAATCTCTAATTCCTGTCTTTCTCAGGCTCTGTTTCGTGCCTTCCTGAGAGTTAACCGGGCTGTTTTTCTGAGCACAGTTATGTAACGAGTCAACAGGTCATGCGTTGTTACACTGGGCAGCATTGTTCTAATAATTATGGATGTTTAGCTGACTCCATAAGGAAGAAAACAGATGCACAGGCTCACTTCTGAAGTTCTCCCCCACTGCCCTCATGGCCTAAACCTTTGTGTTGCTTAGTAACAGCTCTGCTCGGTCGGCGTGTGAGCTGTACTGTTCGCTGGTTTGTACAGAGAGAGAAAACTCAGTCCTTTCTTCTGTTGTGTAGCTCTCCAACAGCCAGCCAAGTTCCTGTCGGCCTGCTGTGGCTAAAACACCTTTTTTCTTTTTTTTTATTTTTTAGCTAAACCGACATTTAAATTCAAGCCTCGGAGCTCTGGATGGTTTGTTGGCTTGGAGCTGAGAGGCTGGAGGAGGAGCTGGGGAACTTTTTTCACCAAACATGGCAGTGTTCTGCGATGAGAAAAAAAAAGTCTGGCTCAGGCCTCAGACAGACAGTACAAACATAGAAACGCGGCGTTCACATGCACACAGATGTCACATAGATGCAAGATGCATAAATCCTCGGAGTTGTTTCACAGCAGCGTATCTTTGTGACAGAGATGAAATAAATATCCGTGCATGTTGAACTGTTGGTCACCAACAGATCAGGCTTTTACCATGACTTGCTGAAGTTGTAGCTGTGTGTTTTCCGTCTACTTCACTTTCTACCCTGCTCAACACAGTCTTAACCAGTTCCTCTCCTTCTTTTTTAATTCTTTCTTTTTCAGGCATGAACGCTGCCGTACGTGCCGTGGTTCGAATGGGCTTGTATGTGGGCGCAAAAGTTTATTTCATTCATGAGGTGAGACTCTCGTGTTCACTGTTTAGGCATTTCTACCACAGTTAATAAGTCATTGAGTTGGTGTTGTAGTTATGGAGCCTGTGCAGGAAAACATCAGTCTGCATTCTAACACCGGCACGATGATGCTGAACAAAGTCATTTTGATTTAGATCACAGTTATTATATGTATCAGACATAAACAGAACACTGCTTTCTGTTCTGTGTTGTGCTACATTCCTGCTAATGTAGACATAAAGTTCTCCTAAGTTCACTGCATCTCCTGCACATAAATATGCACCCAAACACTTCACTTGCTGAGCATCTACTTTTCAACAAGCCCTATAATATTACAGATGCACCTAAAATGCTTCGATAGATGCTAGCGAGGCAACTTTGCACAAAGAACCCGATCGTCTCCACTCAGTTGCTGCAGCACAGCACTGGACAGACAGCCGTGTGACCGGAAACGACTCTGGTAATAGAAAAATAAGACGCTCTAATGTCAGATTTACCCACGTGGACCCAACTGATTTTATCTACTTCTTAGTGAAGTTCCATCCATCCATCCATTATCTATACACCACTTAATCCTCACAGGGGTCACGAGGGGGTCACAGGGCTACACTTAGAGACAGACAACCAAGCACACTCACATTCACACCTACGGACAATTTAGAATCACCAGTTAACCTCAACATGTTTTTGGACTGTGGGAGGAAGCTGGAGAACCCGGAGAGAACCCACGCTGCATGGGGAGAGCATGCAGTATCCACTCAGAAAGATCCCGGGTGTCCTCACCGGGATGCGAACTGGCGACCTTCTAGCTGCGAGGCAACAGTGCTAACCACTGATCCACCTTACAGCCCCGATGTCAATATTAAAATCAAAATTAAAAAGTCATGATTGTGATTAATATTCAGTTAATCGTGCAGGCCTTCTAATACTCACAATCATTTGTTTTGAAATATATGATTGTATAATGTTAAGTCTTAACACTTCAAATGTGTAAATGCCAAAAAGTGTAAACACAGACGTATAAGAGGCCAAAGAATCTCAGACTGATTTGTGAAGACATTCATGCTGCCATTCCCTCTGCCTTTTCTTGCACGTTGACATCAGCCTGCATGTAGGAACAGAGGGATGTTTATTTTCCTGCAGCAGATGTCGGATGTGCTTTGGGAAGCGCTGCTTGTTCGTCCCGTGATCCCAGCACATCTGTGTATGTGTAGGTCCTGCTCTCACAGCGTGCTGTTACGTAACCGACTCGAGGCTTTAGATGACTCGTACGAACCTTCCCTCCCGCTCAGGTAGCGCGGTGCTGTGGGCGTACACCTGCACGCCTCTGCAGGTCACCACATCAGGATGGATAAACTTACCTGACTGTGGTTTTGCTTTAGGTGGAAATCTTTATGATGACCTGAGAGTCACTGAGTTCATTCCAGCTGTTAGCATAATGTTGTTCAGAGTGTTTGTTTGCTAAGCTCCAGCGTTTATTTACTAAGAGGCTTATGGTTCTTTTTATTTATTTTTTATCTATCAGGGATATCAGGGTATGGTGGACGGTGGGGAGAACATAAGGGAAGCCACATGGGAAAGTGTCTCCAGCATGCTACAAGTGGTGAGTAATTATCATGGGCAGCATTCCACACATCTAATGAAATTACTGCAGGGAGTTTAAATCAGTTCTCATCTGTGTACGAAACAGTTCTATTCTATTTCTAACGTTTTTAGCCCTCTGAATCCCAGAAGTTGTCATCAAGGCCATCTGTTAGAGCAAAGAAAGAGTTGTCCAGTTTTTTATCTTTGGTCCTTGAACTACTCATGTGTTACCTACAGTTCTGTCAAGAAAATGAACCAAATGTGGGATTAAAATCATGATATTTCAACAAATTCAAAAACAAAACATACTCTCATAGAGCTGGTTTGCACGATAGTATGAAGACATTTGTAGAGAATGTTAAATGTAAGTCGTAAAGTATCTGTAGCAGGTAAAGCGAACACTTTTTCCAGTGCTGGTAACACCTGTGAGCAACTTTTCTTTTTTTAAACCGTGTCATAGTGCTCAAAAGACATTTCTAGTTTCTCTCTACTTCTTCCATAGAGGTGCAGGACTTTATACTACACTGGAAAATGAGCCCACAGTGTGACAGGAGCAAAAAAAAAAACACCAAACTGCTTGGAGTTCAGAGGGTTAAACTGAAAAATATACTCAATAAAACAACAGACATCAAAGTCAGTTCTCGCTTGCAGACAGCAACGCGTAAAGAGGAAGCTGTAAGTCATGTGAAATAGAAGATAAAGATGTTTTGTGGTTTGAGATGTCTTCCCCTAACATCCCCACACTGAGTTCATCAGCAGTGTTTATCCTGTCAACGTATCCTCAAGCAAGACACTGAACTCCACACAACACCGAGTGCACAAAACTGTGCTGTAAAAGCCATGAAAGGAACTTCCGTTAACAAGAAAAGGAGAGCGATTTTAGCTCAAGACGCTTTAACATCTTTGTCTTATTGTCACCAGGGCGGGACTGTCATCGGCAGCGCCCGCTGCAAAGAGTTTCGCAGTCACGAGGGACGCCTGAAGGCGGCTCACAACCTGGTGCAGCGCGGCATCACCAACCTGTGCGTGATCGGTGGAGATGGCAGCCTGACTGGAGCCAACCTGTTCAGGGAGGAGTGGAGCGGGCTGCTGGGAGAGCTGGTGGAGCAAGGTAGTGGAGAAACATGAACCTCCGCTTGGCTTTGTTCTGATGGCGTTTTTTATAATTTAGGGTATAATCATTTTGGGCACCACTTAAAGTATTTTGTTTCCACACTGAGCAGCATTACTGTTGCCAGCATTAGTTAGTATTTGTGTGTGTAGGAGTCCTCAGATGTCTTCCATTAAAGAAAAGGTAAAATCCACAACAGTCACTCAGATAACCAGAAACTGAAAAAAGTAATAATAAATAAAAATTTGCGAAATTGTAATTTAGTGAAATAAGACATTGCTTTTGAATTGTGGTTGAAAATAATAATTAAAAAAACAAACAAAACTGTCAAATTAGAGCACTTTGCTGATGAGCAGTGGGCCAAAATACCTGTCAACAGGTGCAGAAGTCTGACTGAGAGTTACAGAAAACACTTGACTTCAGTGATTGGCTCAAAGGGTTGTTCAACTAAACATTAGTTTCCGGGTCCCATCATGCTTGTTTGCTTGTTGTGGGTTTTTTGTTTTGTTTTTCCAAATATTTCTGTTGAAGCACAATTCAAAAGCGACGTCATGATCCGACAGCCTGCCATCCGACATAAAAGAAGGTTTTTACATTTAGCGTCGGATCATCGAGTCACGACTGTATGTGAATAAAACACACAGTCTGTTATAAATACGGTGGTGTTGCTGTAGGTTTTCCCCTTAGCTCAGCAGCCTCCACTGTTGCCAGTACTACGATATTATGACAACAAGCCGTGAGAATCTGTGGAAGTGGACCGTAAAACACAGTACGTCAACCGTCAACCTCCCGATCCCATCAGGTGCAATTGAGGAAGACTCCGTCCAGAAGTACTCGGCCCTTCACATCGTGGGCATGGTCGGCTCCATCGATAACGACTTCTGTGGAACTGACATGACAATCGGCACCGACTCGGCTTTGCACAGAATCATCGAGGTGGTGGACGCAATTATGACGACTGCACAGAGGTGAGGCGGAGGATGGAGGAGGATCAGTAGCAGCTTATAGTCTTAAATAGGATGCTTACTGCTCTAACATGAACATCTGTGCTTTGTTTAAATGCCTACCACACTCAGTTTGTTAAATTTAAAGTCACGCAATCATGGAAAATGAATAGAAAGAAGCTGTGCTGTAATAAATTGTGCTTATGTTTCCTATAAGTCATAAATCTGAATAAGTTATCATCAACAATCATTTCAACTCCATTTATAATCATCTTTCAAAATGTTTTTGAGCACATTAGTCCTGTCCTGTATCACTAAAAACGCTGAGTCATACCTTCTCTTGTTATCTCTCAGCCACCAGAGGACGTTTGTATTGGAGGTCATGGGCAGACACTGTGGGTAAGACTGCATGAAACTTCGTAGCAGATCCGAAAGCATAATTCCTACGGCAGACACGGAGCTTTATTATGGCCTGTGTATAAACAAAGTGTTCTGTCTGCGTGTGTTATCTCAGCTACCTGGCCTTGGTGAGCGCCCTGGCTTGCGGGGCAGACTGGGTGTTAATCCCTGAAATGCCTCCGGAGGATGGCTGGGAGGAGAAGATGTGCCAGAAGCTATCGGCGGTAACACAATCAGATTTGTTTCTGCACTGACGCGTAGAATACCGGCGTCCGTGTGATGTTTTATGTAACTCGACAGCGTTGTTATTCTCCTGCATAACTTTTTTTTTCTTCTACAAGGAAATCCTGCCTTTTAATTAGCGAGAGAAGACTGATGTGAGGTGTTTTGTTTCTGCTTTGAAAACAATGTGATTCAGACCCGTTCCAGGGGCACAAGGCTGAACATAATCATAGTTGCAGAGGGAGCCATTGACAGGCACGGGAAGCCTATAACCTCTAGTTTTGTCAAGGATGTGAGTATTTGAGTGTGAAGAAAGGGGAAGCCAGAAGCATGGAGACCTGACTGATGGAGACCAGCCTACTGAGCCAGACGGCCACGGTATTCTGAGTATGCACGCGATGCCGATCTCTTTATTACAAAGTGTTGACAAGCAAAAACAAAAGGCCGGACGCCGCCGTAACGAGATCCAGCCCGTCAAGGAATCGGCTCCCAGGCTGCTGCCGCCATCGTCGGGGCCCCCGTGCTTCTGAAAGCCCACGTCACGGCCACGCTCTCAATTTTTCTGTCATGTTGTTTCTCCACCACGCCCCCTCCCTGTAGAACCGAGCAGGGATGAAAAGGCTGAATATCATAATTGTAGCCGAAGGGGCGATTGATCGTAGCAACAAAGCGATTACCACTGACTATATTAAGGATGTAAGTACAGAGCCTCTCGTGTCCAAGTGCAACACGTTCCAGTTTCGACTCCCTCCTGTATGACCTCTACTACTGTACTGCTGCCCTGGTGTGGCTTTGACTCTGTTGCTGTGTTTCTGGAATGCTCTATCAGGCACACTGGCTAGTTTGGTAAGACGGCTTTCACAATACTACTCCTTGCTGTAAGAACCCTCCTCACTAAACCTCACGCCCAGGCATTTGTCAGATCAAATGTCATGTACTTGTAGCTACTTCACACATAGTTTTTTTTAAAATATGTATATGTTTGGACACTTGCACTGTAAATCTGCTCATGGGGGGATGATCACAGTATGTCATGACTAACAGTTTTGTTTTTAATTTGTAAAGCATTTTATTTTCCTTTTACAATACCTGAATATTTGTGTTTTAATTTCTTGCCTGGGATCGTGTATGAGCTAGGGGCTCCCTGCTAACATGACTGAAAAATTAGAATGGCTTGCTTGTGCTTTGCTGTTTCCCCTTCTCTTCGGCTTTTATATTGTGTTGGTGTTTCGGTGTGTGTGTTCATTGATGTATGAATTTGTCATATACACTTATTGCACAATGTAGTTTTTTTGCAGACTTAATTTTTTAAAGTAAATTAGTACTTCTTCTTCTTATTATTAAGTACACTTAAATTTACAGTAGCAATTAGAAGAATACGATGCCACAATCTCCGCTAAACGCTGCGTCTTTTATTCTCCCAGCTCGTTGTTAAATGCTTGGGTTTCGACACACGAGTCACAATCTTGGGGCACGTGCAGAGAGGAGGGACCCCGTCTGCCTTCGACCGCATCCTGGTAAGTGTTTTGATAGTTGTTGAACTGCTTTATCAGGCAAAAGCAGCATCTCATATCTCAGGATTTTTTACTTTACTGTGTCAGAATAGTGGCCTACATTCACCTTCTGAACCTCAAGGCGCTGGTTAATTCTTAACTGCACTATAAAATCCTGCACCTCTATGCAAACAGCACAGCCGTGGCTACAAGGACAGAGAACTCCAACATGTCTTTTGTGCCGTGTAACATGTCATAAACAGCGGTAGGACTTGACAAGTCTAGGCTTCTTTCTATCCCTTTTCGAAAGAGTCAAATGTGTATTATATTGAAATTGGCTTTTTATTTTTTATTTTCCATTTGTTTCATCTATTTTTAAGCGTTTATTCGTTTGAAATAAAAATTAAAAAATAAATAAAGAATATAAATCATCATGTTGTTCATTATTCATTTTACAAAAAATTAAAAACAAACAAAAAACTAAAATCAACATGTACAACATTTTCCATTGTTCACTGTTGTCAATGCTGGACACAATAGTGGTTTTATATGCTGTAGATATTCTGCTATTTACATTTTTGTCTTGTTTCTGTACTCATCTCGTTATATGCGCTGCATAAACACAGTTCAGTTCAGCCAAAAACGAAGCCCTGAATGTTTGTCACATGACTGTTGGTCAAAGGTTGATTCACTAACGGCTTCCTTGTTGTCTGGAGGAGTCCAGAATTTGTTGTTTCTTGCAGATCTGGTGCAAACAGTTTTGTTTTGGCAAATTTTAAACAAGGCAGAATAGAATACATTTATTAGATTACATATCACCATTTTAAGATCACATCAGACCATTCTTGATGTTTTTACAGTTTGTGACTCAGACAAATGGTGATTTTTTGGCTTTTTTTTTTAATTTTATTTTTTTTATAGATGACATCTTTTAAACCTACCAGCAGGTTTTGTGGTTCAGAGGTTTTTTTTGCATTTTATCTGATCAAAATGAGAAAATAGTAATTAGTTGCAGGCCTAATATAAAATTGATTATGCACTGAATTTAGAAGCTATAACGTTGTCAGACATGATTTAATTTACTTTCTTAGCCTGTAATTGACAGGCTCGCCGTTCCATTCAATGCAGCACTCTTGTAAAAAATGCTAAATGTTTACACATCTAAGCTAATGTGCCTGAGTTAGATTTGTTACCATTCCAGTTGCCCGGAGCATTTCCTGTTTAGACCTGTGTGTGCGCCTGAGGAGAAAAGGCCTCCAGGTTTTAGGTTAAGCACATTAACAGATTTGTGGCTCAGCACGTGAAGGACATGTTCGCCACAAACCAAGTAAACACTGAAGCAGAAAAAAAGGTGGATTAAAGGGATAAATTTCCCGCAATTTCAGATTCAAAGTTGGAAAAAAAAGAAACTATGAGTGCGCTGGATAAACAAAGTGATAATGACGCAGCCTTCCCTCCCCGTGTGCGTGTGCAGGCCAGTCGTATGGGCGTGGAGGCCGTTCTGGCTCTCCTGGAGACCACAGCCAACACTCCGGCCTGTGTGGTCTCTCTGTGCGGGAACCAATCGGTGCGCCTGCCTCTGATGGAGTGTGTACAGATGGTAAGTGCTGCACTGTGCTGGAAGCAGTCCAACACAACCACACAGTCAACACACACATTCACGTTATTTACAGAAGTACAGAAGCAGACAGAGTCAACGGGGACGAGGTGCTGAAATAACGATGTCAAAACAGCACAGATCGGGTTTGGAGTGGCACTGATGCTCACTGGAGAGTTGTGTTTTTCGTCTGGTTAATGATTATCTGAAGCATTCTTCGGCGTTGGCGATGACTGCCAGTATGATGATGTAAGAGAACACATCTCCATAGAAACACACAAAGCCGCTTTGTAGTTGTGCTCACCAGCCGTGTTTGGATCCCGACAGGAAAAGATCTCGCTGCTGCTGTCTGATATTTTGAAGGCATGCAGTTCTATCGCAGGTCAAACCAAGGTTACATGAACAGATGATGACATGTTTACTCCTGTATTGTTCTCTCTCTCTCTACACTCGAAGGCAGTCAGTCCTACATGCAGCCATTGTTACACCAATAACAGACACTTCAAAGATGGTGGATATTTAATCAGAACTGACATGCATTGCTTTGCATTGGTTTTGTACGTACAGGAAGTGTATGAATAGTGAATTCAAACAGTAAATCACTGTTTTCCTGCAGACTCAAGAAGTTCAGAAGGCCATGGACCAGAAACGCTTTGAGGAGGCTGTGAAGCTTCGGGGCAGGTATGACTGATGGACGCTTCCTTGAAGATCAAGACATGAAAATCAGTTTGATGTCGCTCTCTGTAGACGGTTGTATTCGGTAAAGTGCATCACTGTGCTGTTTGAGAGCATCACGACTCTGTTGTTTCAAGTTTCAAATAATCCATTTTTTTCTTGTTTTTAACTCTAATGTTTTATTTTACTCTGAACATGTGCAATACATGTGTTTGAACAGATCAACTAACCGTCCTCGGTTTTGTTGCAGGAGCTTTGAAAACAACCTGAGGACATACAAACTGTTGGCTCATCGTAAACCAGAATCTGAACTGCCAACTGTAAGTCTTCTCCTTGACAGTGACACACTTGTCAGCTGTGTTTGCTCTCTTTGAACGCACCCAAAAAAAAAAAAATAGGAGTTGTTTTTTTTTTTTGCACACAGATGGTGGCAGCTCCCTGCACAACCTGCCTGGAGAGCAGGTTGTATCTGGAGAGTTGAATCAGCCTCCTCCACCCGCTGCACAACTTCAGTGTGTTTTTGAGCTGGAAACTAAATGATAGACGGTGATGGAACACATCAATGCGGGTGTTAATTAACAGCATGTCACGAGTTAAAAATAGCTCAACATGAAATCTGCTGTTTTAAATGTAAACCTCATGCTAACATAGAGTCGTGGGACTTTCCTATGTCATGAAATTTATAGAAAACAGAACTTTAATACCCAATCAGAGGTGGCTTCTTTCCCTCTCAGTGATGCTTTAAATGTAAATGTAGCTGAACTGGCTTTAACATAGTTTGTCAGATAGTGCTGCATTTAGAAAAGCAGGATTTTAGTTGTGCAGAGCAGCAACTTGTAAATGACTCACTGCTGGCTAACATGTAGCTTCAATGCTTCTCAGTTGCTGTTTCATCGCTCCATTGTCTGACAGATAAATATGTAAAAGAGAAACGCTTAATTGGGAATTCTGCTGTATTAAAGTGGAGTATATGTGAGCCTAGAAAGCAGGAGAGACACAAACAGATGGGACAAAAAGTGAGCTGACCTTAGGTTGCACTGGGTTTTTACGAAAGCTTCAGCTTCAGGGGCTACTGGAGCTGCACTGAGGCTCCAACTGATATGGCTCGGGACCGCCGTGGTTCTGTACCACAACAATGTCTGATCCTGTGTCGCTCTCCTGTGACTGAGCAACCTGCCTCCTCACACTCTGAGCCCTTTGCACACTTTAACGTTTTTCAGATTAATGCAGTGGGTGGAGTTACACTTAATTTTTCATAACTGAGGTTCTGCCTACCAGTAATGACTCAGCTGGAGCTGTCGTGATGCACGGCGCTGCTGCTGTTTTCAGAGATAACCTTGGCAAAACAAAGCTCCCTTACTGAGTAAAGATCTTCTGTTTTTTTTCTTGTTTGGCAGAACTGTAATGTGGGTATTTCTCTGTACACAGGTGTATTACAGCATGCTAGTCGTGTTGGCATTCATCACTCACACGGTTGTCTCCTGCTGTTCATTTAATATTTTAAAATAGCAGTGAACTGTTTTCCCCTGCTTCCTGTGTTGCCCTTATTTGCTGTGAAGCCTATAATTGTAGCCAGTGTAGGCTTCATGTGGGGCCCAGGTGACTCGCTGTCGGTCTGCTGAGCAGTGATATCAGACGACACCTGGCTCCCCTGCAGAGGGATGACTTGTTCAACCCTGGCAGGAGCTGCTGCAGCCTGCTGCTGCGACTCCAGAGGAGGCAGCTCTGACTGAAGATCAGTGAAGTGTACAGGCAGCACGGCAGACTGCGTGCTGTGAAGCTCGCCTCGGGGTTTGGCTCCCCCTGTATCTATGATAATGACCACTGTACGCCCAGCATGCAGCTGAGAGTGCACCAGAAAGCATTTATTGATTCCCTCTGTAGAGTGTAATCAGCTGTCCTCCAACACACACTCTGCTATATTGTAGGATTAGTTAAGCTGCATTTGCAATGATTAAACTGTCACATTTAATGTCAGACCTGCCCGTGATGTAAATGCAACCTGTTGCTGTGCGTTTTATGCCTTCAGAGCAACTTCAACGTGGCTGTATTGAATGTCGGCGCCCCTGCAGCGGGCATGAATGCCGCCGTCCGTTCGGCTGTCAGGGTGGGCATCTCTGAGGGGCACAAGATGTTTGCTGTCAGCGACGGCTTTGAGGGATTCTACAAAGGACAGGTGAGTTTGTACATCACTGGCACACATTACACATCATTAGAATCTACCAGAGGAGGCTTCAAATGAAAGAGACTGTCATTTACATTTGTTCATGATTTACCCTAACAACCTAATTATAACGCTCTGCTTAGATTTTTTTCATCAATACCTCAGAGAGAATTGGCTTAGCCTGATGGGAGTCCGGCAGTGCACAATCACTGTTTGCTTCCTGACTAAAGAGCGATCAGGGAAGCCCCGGGGATAATCTGTCCAGATTAATGTAAACCAATTTCTCACACTGACTCTTCCTCCCCTGCCCTGCTCGGACAAAGCCGATGCAGAACCACAGCAAACCAACAGAGGGCGCCGAGTGTGATCACAAATGTCCTGAGACAGACTGTTGGAACGATAAGTCTCACCCTAATGGGAAAATATAGGGAGTTTTGAATGGAAGGGAGAAGCAGACAGCGCCCGTGTGAGCTTTATGTGGAAACCTGTGCTCAACTGTAATCTGAGACTGGGCTGTTTCTTTTATCCATAACTGGCAGAACTGGTTTCCCACTCCTCTCTCCTATCCTCTCCCGTCCTCCTCCCACTGAAAAACCTTAAATCACCTCCGTCGACGGTTGGCTCCTTCCAAAGAACAGCACTTAACGAACAAACCGAACGTTTATCTTCATCAAAACGTCTCCGATATCGCTGGTTAGTTAAACATCCTGCGCAAGTTCTGGCCGGCTGAAATCAAATTGTGCCAACTGACCCTAAGAAGATTAAACCACAGGGAGTAATGGATTTCTATAATTCAGTGCTCGGGGACTCTCTGCTCCGCACCTCTCTGTGTTTCCACCGGAGCAGTTATTCCACTGTATGAAAGAGTCTTTCCTGCAAATTAACTCTGCTCTTCACAAGCCCTGCGCTGAGACCCCAGAAGGATGTGTCGGGAAATACACAACTGAAGCTAACGCACGAGGAGTGCATTTAACAGCAACACAAACACTATTTTAGATGTAGGGTTTAAACATTTGGATGAGGAAAGCAAATAAAGACAAAACTGGTGATTGTCAGGTTTTAAATACTAATAAAACAACACAGGACAGAGTGTTTCATAACACATCAGATCATTTATGTGTCGCTGTTGTCTTTCCTTTAGATTAAGGAGATTAAATGGGCTGATGTCGGAGGATGGACGGGGCAGGGCGGCTCTCTGTTGGGAACCAAAAGGTAAAGACCGACAGCTGTTGAGCTTTAAAGCTGGAGTCCATAAAGTTTTTTGTAATGATAATGATGAAGTTATGACTTTGAGGGTTGAAGCCTACAGTTGTGCTGCAGACTCCACATACATAGAGAGTATTGTTGTACTTATGTTGAACTTATTCATGACATTGCAAGACGCAGAGCCAGTTTAGTATAACAAACATCGAGCACAGCAGTAGTTTCAACACTGAAGAGATTAACAGACGTATGACAGACCACAGCTTTCTATTCATGAACCAGAAACAGACGAGGACGATAAGAAGCAACAACCATCGATGAGAAATTCATTAGCGCTGTGAGGAGAAGCGGTGGAGAGCAGAGCAGAGGTGTTGGTGACCGACTGATGTTTGATAACGTTAGCTGAGGGTGTAACATGAGCAGTGTTGGCTGTTTAATACATGCAGGAGTATTGATCCAGGCTGTTTCAGAATCTAATGCAGTTGTTGTCAGTCACATCTCACTTCCTAGAACTTAAACACTATGTTTTATGACACATGAGCGAGAAAGAGAGAGGTGAGTAATTTAGAAGTCTGCAAACTTAAACAAAGACACAGATAGAGCACAGTTAGTGTTTTTGGTGAACTGAATCTTGGACAGATGTGTGTGTGCCGCCAGTGGAATCGACTGTGTGTACTGAAGAAACCGAACCAGCTGTCAGTCTCACATGTTCTTGCTTATACATCACATTCAGAGCTCCATCATAACTCTAGGAAAATAATACTCTGGTCTAAAACGAGCTCTGCACAGTGAAGTCCCGTCTCTCCACCTGCACTAAACTGGCCGAGACATGAAAGCAGCTCCGTATTTAGAAAGTGTGAAGTCCTAACAGGCTGCAGTTTGTACAACATGCACAAACACAATAATTCAACATGATGAAAAATTGTGAAATGCAAAGTAATAAGACCAGCTCTCTAAATCCCAGCCCCTCAGACTCACTAGAGATGAATTCTTTATGTAATACGACCTGTGACTTTGTTTAAGGCCTGCTTTTCCATCCAAATGTCTGCTTTTATGTCTCATAAAACATAAAACCATGCATTCTTTTTGAGAAACGAATTCACATCGATGCACTTCAGTGAATATTTTAATCATTTTGTCCATGTTTTCTTCTTCAGAACACTTCCTGCAAAGCATGTTGACAAAATCGCCGAGCAGATGCGAATGCACAATATAAACGCACTGCTGGTTATTGGTGGATTCGAGGTACGTTTACGTCTTCTGTCTCTGTTAGTTTATTAGATTGTTAATGATGCTGCTACTAAGTACTTCTCATCTTTGATTTAATCTACAATCTAATAAGCTCTTGAGTGATGAATATTAGTGACTGTAGCCACACTGTTATGACTCATTGCAACATGTGCAGCTGTATGTTACAGTAAACGATGTGATGTTGATCTTACCCGTCATTCTTATCCCATTTGATATCAGCACATCGCCATATGGTCCCATGTGTAGTCCTGTACATAACCATGCTTGACTCATTGCTCTGCCTGTAATGAGATTAACTGCAATTTAAAGTTGCTGCCTTTAATGTAAATATATGGAGGAATAATGATTAATTTATCTGAATAACTGAAAAGTCAACTAACACCATAAATAATTTGATTGGAAACAGAGACCACCTGCTTTTCTCCAGCCATTTCACGCACTCCCGTTTAGATGCTCACCAGCTTTAAATCTGTGACGTATGCAAGTAAATTCTGTGTATGTACAGTATGTTTCTGAGGATGTGTGTGGAGTGGTACCTGTCTGTTTCGCTGCTGTCCGTTGTGATAGGCCTGGCTCCTCCCCCTTGGCACCCTCCACTTATGTCTTTCCCCTTCCTTTGTGGCAAGTAGCACCTCACCACCAAACCAACCTGCCAACCCCCCTCCCTCCCTCCCTCCTCCCTCCCTACCCCCCTGCAGACACTAAAGCCCTTGGCTCTGCCCTGCAGGCCTTCCTGTCACTGCTGGAATTGTTAACGGCTCGCGGGAAATATGACGAGTTCTGTGTGCCCATGGTCATGGTCCCAGCCACTGTCTCCAACAATGTGCCGGGCTCAGACCTCAGCATTGGCGCTGACACGGCTCTGAACGCCATCACTACTGTAAGTGATGGGGCCCGGCGACGAGAGTAGACCAACTCAGCGACACGCAGACACGAAACCCACAAACATGCTCACACAGAACGCCAGCCACGAAGGGAGACACCGCTCACTCAAGTCTTTTTTACCAGTCGCTGTATGTTTTTTATCAGGGATTATTCAGACGAAATTCTCATTACGATGGCATCTGTCAGCCACATCTGGCCTTAAGCTCCTCCAAAAGCATTAGAAACTCACATCCGTGCTTGTGAGGCATGACTGGTAAAGGTAAACGCAAGCCGCAGAGTAGCGTCCCTCCCTTCCCTTCAGGTAAGTAAGCGAGCGACAACATGGAGGCATGCTGTGAGGTGCACAAGCGTCGTGACCGCCATGTTTGCTCTGCCTGCCCTTCTCCCCGACTGTGTGTTTGTGTGTGTGTTCTCCCACCTCATTCAAGATGAGTGGTTAACAGCATGCAGGTCTGGATGTAGTCGAGGTAATTCACACGTAGCGTACGTCTACTAGAAACACGCACCGGTTTTGAATCGTCTTGACATTCTTTGTGCCAAGATTATGTTCAAAACGACAACTTGTAGTGTTTTCTGTAAAGCACAACATGAACTTAATATAAAAACAAAGAAACTACATCAGTATTAAGGATAACATCTCTGAGCCTGATCTTAGCTCGACCATCATCTTCCTCATTCCCTCCTGGTGTGTGTGTGTTGACTTGATCAGTGCTGCTTGTCCTGCCTGCAGTGTCACTGCATCGAATTGCTGAGGCTAGCAAACACACAGATCTGTCTCTGTCCCATCTCTTCCTTTCTCTTCCTACGTCTTTCCTCTAGTTCTTCTCTCTGTACCTTCTACAATTTGTGTCCCCCCCTAATTTTCTCTGTCAATTCTCCTCTTCGCTGTCTTTTTTCCAAACAATCTCTTCACATCCTCCCATCCTTTCTGCCAAAGGGAAGCCACAGCCGCTATCACACGGAAAGAGCCGGAATGGCAGGATACGCTCTCGCAAACTGAGAGAGAGAGGGGGAGATTCACCTCTCTCCTCTCTCTCAGCGGCACGGCCCTCTGAGTCGGCTCTAATGCGTTTTTCATATACTGCCGCTTCAGGCCTTTGAGAGTCTGCTGCAGCTGTTTGACGCTCGTGCTACCTATGAGGAGTTTTGCATCCCGATGTGTATGCTGCCTGCCACCATAAGTAACAATGTACCCGGCACCGATCTAAGTATCGGGGCAGACACGGCCCTCAATGCCATCGTGGAGGTAAGGCAGTCGAACCGCCGCCGGCACAGCTTTGAGCGCTTTGTTCAAGATGCTTGTGCAGAGAGGATGAAAATGACACATGATGTAAATAAATATGAGTGGAGGTTGTGGTCCAGTGCTAATACTGAACAACTATCAGGTTACAAAAGCAGATGAAGTGTTTTCTAGAGCTCTGTTATCAACTTACAACATTCAGCTGTGATCTGATATTTAACTGGTTATTAGCTCTGGACTGTCAGAACATTTCACCTCCAGTAGAAACCAGCTCTAAGAATAAATTCACTCTTACATTTGAATTATAAATGAATTCTCCCGTGTGATGTGCTCTCTCATCCTTCGCAGGACTCCAGTCTTGTCTGGTGAAAAGCTGCATTTTAGCTCGAATTTGTGAAATCTTTAAATGACTGTTGTGCATCTTGCTCAGTCAGCATGCTGTTGATTTTCTATGTGGAATGTCTGATAGACCTCTAATCCTCACAGTCTTTGCTGGTTTGATTTTTAAACACTTTGATGTTATTAAACAAGAGCTCTGACACACACACACACACACAGTTTAATCATTGAGCTCGTGTTGATTCTATACTGACTTGCTGAGCTCGTGTACATGTGCCAGACCTGCGATCGCATCAAGCAGTCGGCCAGCGGCACCAAGAGACGCGTCTTCATCATCGAGACTATGGGAGGCTACTGTGGCTACCTGGCCAGCGTGGGGGGTCTGGCCGCCGGAGCCGACGCCGCGTACATCTACGAGGAGTCGTTCGACATCAGAGATCTGCAGGTAACGCGCTGCTCCACACATTCAAGTCTACGAGCAGTAGAAACTTCTTCTCTTTTGGCACATTTTCAGTTCCTCTCCTCACTTCCTCTCCTTGCGTCTTTCGGCAGAGATGTAAGTAGACGAGGCGACGAGGAGACACGAGTCAGAGACAAAGAATTAACCTTCTGAACCCCGAGCAGTTTCTGGGTGCTTCCTGCTTTTGTCACATTTTTGCTGACTGTGGGTTCATTTGTCTCTGAGATATAACGTCCTCTATGGAAACAGAACAACCACGGCTAGAAGTCAAAAATGTCTTCTGTGCAGCATAAATCTTATGTTGATTTTATGACTGCTATAGAAACAATCTTAACTTACATTCTTACTTTATGGTGTCACACTTATAATGCCTTAAATCATTTAAAAAAGTAAACCAAAGTTGAATTTTCATTGATAACAAGCTAGAATAAACATGTACATGATTTGTACGAGTGCCCACAGGTGTTACCATGACTGATACGAACTGTAGATATTTTACTGTATATTACCGTAACGTTTGGACTATAAGCCACTGTTTTGTTCACACGCTTTGACCACTGCGGCTTAAACAATGATGCAGCTAGTTTATGGATTTAGACGAAAGTCACATTGAGAGCGACAACGACATAGAGACTGAGGAAGTTTGTGACGAAGTAATTCTGAGGCTGTTCAACTCCGACACTGAAGACTTTAGTGGTTTTAATGCAGGAGGAAGATGAAGATAGCGATCAATGACTTTTCCTGGTAGGCTGCTGTATTTTTTATTTTCTTAACCAGCCGTGTTACAGGCACTGTTCAGAAAAAAGCATTTACGTATTTGTGTATGTTACCGGTACGTATTTAATTAAAAGTTTAAGGAATCTTTCTGTGTAAATATCTCACGTTACAACGTGGACACCTGCAGCTTATAGACAAGTTCGGCCTGTATATGTACAAAACTTATTTTCTTTTTAGAATTAGTGAGTGCGGATTATATTCAGGTGCCTCAATAGTCTGGAAATTACGGTAATTTGTTTCCATACTTCATAAATAATGACGGAATTTCGATGAAATATCAAAATTTTAAGCCCAGATTCAGTCTGACACGAGTACGATACAAATAAAAAGTGAATTAACTGATAAATATATTTTACACTCGTTCCTCAGTCCTGCTCCCGACATCCTTTGGTACTGAAAAGAAACAGAATTCACCTGTGCAGCCTCACCTATAGCTCCTTTAACGTCTCTCCTCAAATGCATTTTAAAAACACGTTTCAAGAGTGATTCTGGGTCACAGGCAGGAAGGACAGAGGACACAGGAGGCTCACAACAAAGAAAAGAGCCTCAAGTTTCAGGTTCACTTCCTATCAGGCCGTCTCTCGTTTCCTCCACCAGAGGGCATTCAGGCTTTGTTGTGGGACGGCCGTCACAGTGCCACCTACTGGCTCTTGTTACTCACAGCACACACTGTTACTTTCCACAGGCCAATGTTGAACATCTGACAGAGAAGATGAAGACCAGCATTCAAAGAGGACTGGTCCTCAGGTAAGAACATGACATTTTAAGGCCATAATATAACGTGCAAAAAAAAAGTGAAAGGTCAGTCCTCTGCTATAGACAGATTTAGTTTTTCCAGCCCTCAGTATGTGGCTTTAAGCTGCTTGTATAGCAAACAGAGCTTGTGGTGATGTCAACAGTTTAACAGCTGACATTTTGCAGCGCTGCTCTCACTCACCATGTCGGCACAACATAACCCGAAATCTGAAGAAATGCCCAAAGTGTGCCTCTGGTAACGTTTTGCTTCACTCTGTGTGTGTGTGAAGGAACGAGAACTGCAATGACAACTACACAACAGACTTCATCTACCAGCTGTACTCTGAAGAAGGGAGGGGAGTGTTTGACTGCAGGAAGAATGTGCTGGGACACATGCAGCAGGTCGGCCGCCTTTTTTTTTTCATTTTATAAATCATTACAGCTCCTGCAGACTGAGGACGATCGAACAAACTGTTTCCCATATTTGTGTCATGAATATGCATATCCCCAGTTCACACGCGCGGCCTTTGTTGTATTTTGGTTTTGTGTGTCTTGAGATTAGCGCAGATCAAACTGGAACAAACAAAACTTTTAACGCTCTCTGAGGATGAATCGGTTTGCATCAAATAACGGCATTCAGAAAGCTAAAACTCCAAATTCTTTTAAAGATAGCCGACCAAATGTTAATATGAATAAATCAGGACGGAAGGGAAAAGTGAAGCCTGTTTATTCCTCTGACAGGGAGGAGCGCCGTCTCCGTTCGACCGCAACTTCGGGACCAAGATCTCCGCCAAGGCGATGCAGTGGATCACCAAAAAGCTGTCGGAGACGTTCAGACAAGGTACGGTTCCCCTCCTGCGTGATTAGCGAGCTGACCCCGTGCTAGTGGATCCTCCCTCCCCGCAGAGGCGTGGCCGTTGTGAAGCAGATCCGTCATGGAGTCACTGAGTCTGGCATTCTGATGTGTTTTGTTCCTCACCAAAGGAAATGAATTATTGATCATTTACGCCCATCAATTTAACAGTTTAATGAGAAATTTACCTGACTATATATTCTCATTTGATGAATAACAGCTGTGAATGATATATGATATTTTTTTTTGCCTTCAAACCAAACTGCATGACTCAAATTAAAGTAAAAACTCCTCTTTGTTTTTTCTTATGTCTATTTCCCTTACACATGGATGTCATAAGACGAAGGTAAATCTTTATTTTTTCATGCTGGCTCCATGACCATCTACATCTTGTATATTTAGCTCCATGTCCCCGTGTGTCGTTGTCACCATTGTGCTGTAGTTTATAAAGGCGCACAAGCCTGTCCAAGCATATGTGGGATACAGATACGATGCTTTATCAGCAGCCGCCATGCCAGCCTATTTCCAGTTCATCTCAAATCGATTATCTGGAAATGTACAAGCATGAGCTGTAGTAATAAAGTGCACATTTCTTCTTCCTGCTTTGCCCCACATTTTCTTGTGCACCTCATGTTGTTTCAGTTGCTTTTTTTTTTTTTTTATTAGTTTCTGTACCATCACCTCTTTGTATTTTGTTCTCTGTAGTCCTCTTATAGTTCCATACTGTCCACCAGCTAGTAAACAGAGCCGCCATCACCCTGTTCACACACACACTGTTGTTTCTGTGCTGGAGTTTTGTGCTTCCTCCTCTGAACGCTGTGATGTTTCTGTGCAGGCCGAGTGTTTGCGAACAGCGAGGACACCTGCTGTCTGCTGGGGATGCGCCGCAGGGCTCTGGTCTTCCAGCCTGTTGTGCAGCTCAAGGGGGAGACTGACTTTGTGTACGTATCGCACTGGTTGAACTGACAGCCACGTACAGACTGTGTAAAGGTGGACTTGAGTAGGTTTTTGATTTGTATGTGCATGTAAACGTCACATCCCAGTTTCAGAAACCCGGATAAGCCCTTATTCTGGTTTTGTTAAG